GGCCTGTGGTCCGAAAGGATTTGTGGATGCAAACCGATCTCTGTCAGTGTTTCCCACGCTTCGGCCTTGACTAAAAAATAGTCGAGGCGTCTCCGGGGGGAAAGTCTGTTAGGAAAGCGTTGGCTGGAGAGCCAAGTATAGCCTGGTTCCAGGGGGTTAMATACGCGGTAGGGATCCACGAAGTCCTGCTGTTCAATGATGAATAACAATTYCACTGTGTCCGCCCGAGTGGTTTTGGGCTCCGGTGAGTCTTATCCTGGGTTTAGCAGTGTGTTCCAATCCCCGCCCACTATACGGTTCTCTACCTCCGGAAAAAGATAAGGCRATTCCGAGAAAAAGGAGAGACATTCACCGTAGATCGCAGGAGCATATACCGACATTACGGCCCATTATTTATCTTCATAGGTAAAGGAGACCCAAGCCCACCTACCCCAAAAGTCCTCTAGGTGGTCCAAAATCGTAAGATTCATCTTCTTGTGGATTAGAATCGCAACCCCCCCTCTTGAATCCTGCGCCGGGGCCCAAAATTGGGGCCCTGTCCACCATCTTCGAATTTCCTTTATTTTATCTTCGTTTAACTTAGTTTCCTGGGGGAGCGCGATGTTTATTCCTTCTTCATGTACCCATGTCTTGAATCTCGATTTTTTMTGTCGGTCGTTTGAGTCCCCTAAACCACGAAYGTTCCACGTAGCAATTTTAAGCTTGCTCATATGGGTTGTCCTTGCGACCGGRTGATTCATTGGATGTGGTCCGTTTTTCCGTTTTGTCRTTCTTCCTTCTTCTCGGTGTCGTGCTCGCAGATCCAGTGCAAGKTTCCAACCATGCGATTTTCAGCACATTCCTAAGTCMTGGCGACATCAATTGTCTATCACTCGGCAGGGAGATACAAAATTCCGCTATCAACCGACCGTCAATTCCTGGCTGGAGAATCACCCATGTTAATTCYGGGGTCTCTGTTGAGGCAAACCAATCAGCCGGAATCCATTTTCCACCTGCTTTTTCCCAATCCCCCTCTGCCTCCCCTGATTGTTTTAGATCCACGATCGCTATGAAGAAGGYTKTTGATTGAGAATCTGACATTTTCCGTGATTTCCTCCCTAACCGAATTCCAGGAATCAGGCGGTGACGCAATTTCGTTCCAAAAAAGGATTCAAGCAGGGGGAGCAAGATTGAGCGGGKGGGGGGGGSCACAGACACAGATATCATTGGTAAGGAAAGGRTATCATCYTGCGAAGGCAAGGCCATGAGTTTCAGACCCTGAGGAAAAGGCATAATCCCTAATATCACTAAGTAACTGGTGGTGGTGACTGCTTGACTAGGTTTCAACTTGCCCTGAGGGCCCGTTTCCTTAGYCAGAGCGCCAGCGTTCCCTATTTGTCCTGGTTCKTTTCCTAGGGATAGTGACGATGCCATACTCCTTATTTTGATATCGTCCTCTTCTTCTTCCCTTGTGATTTYCCCCWTTCCTTCCGCTCCTACCCTTCTAGATTTGCAAGGAGCCGCATCTGTTGCCCTTCCCAATCTTGAAGTGTTRACGGTACTGAGTTTCTGTTCTGTACCTTGCACTAACGCGTGGCCTTGAGTGCCCTTCTGGTTCTTTCTCCTTCCCTCCCCTTCCGTGGTGGCATCAATCAGTATTCCACTGGAACTCTCCTTGTTCACCTGGAGTGAAGACGCCAAACCTGTGCCCCTACTCGAAGAGAGCGTTCTTGATAAGGAAGAGTAGTGCACATCCCAGTCAGAGGTGGTCGATTTGAAAACGCTGCTGGAGATCCGGGTCGTTACAGGGCTGAACCTGGGATATGAGCAATATTCAAAACCCGGGTTTACGTGTGAAGTGACGTAACTAGCGTGACCTGCCATAGGTGCCACGCCATACCCTACAGCCGACTTATACAGACCTAAAGGGGGGGTCGTTACGTTACCATACTCGGATAACCCATACGGTAAGTTGACTCCTACAGACGGGAGAGATGCTGAGGTTTGGTGATTACCTACCGATGCTGAAGGGAAGCCATTCATTCCCTGTCCCTGAAGCATATTGCTTCCTAGGGGTATCCCCCCTAACATTCCTGCTGACTGCGGCTGCAACGCCACGTATCTACATGCATCCTTATTGACGCCACTCCCTGTGGCGTTCTCATTGAACGTTCTTACTGCGGCGATACCCAGCTGTGGCAGTTGACCGCCACCCACCTCATGTCCCAAGAAGAAAGATGACTGTTCTCTATGCGATGCCTTCTGTTGGAGATGTCCTTGCTGCCAGTTTCGCTGCATATCCAAAGCACCACCGCTTAAGTGTTGATCTCCTCCTCCTTGTCGCTGTCCCTGTTCCTGGTGTGAAACGCTTAAGTTGYTGTTGCCCTTCCCTTGAGTGTGACTGACCTCCTTGTTGTTGACTTCCTCCTTGTCGTTGTCCTCCCCCTTGGTTATGCCCTCCACCTTGGTGCTGGCCTTGGTATTGACCTCCCACTTGTTGTTCCGTTCCCCCATGATGTTGTCCTCCTCCTGATCGTGAGTGGTTGTATGAACTTGTATGCACTTCCTTGACTTCCTTGTGGTGGGGGTAGCGAGTGTCCATTTGAAGGCGCGGGGTGGGGTGGGGGGGGGGAAGGGGGGGGTGGGGAGTTTGAGCCCGAAGGACCCTGGCCCCTTCCACTTCCGGTATTCCCTCTGCCCCAGCCACCCCACCCACCTCTGCCTCCTCTCCCTCGCCCTCTTCTCCTATTCGCCGGCATTTCTTCGTTGTACCGCGGGCATTCCGGATCGTCTTTGGTGTGAAACCACCAAAGACGTTTGTTGCAGAAAGGAGAATCTTGTGTAGCGATTCTGATCTCCAGATCTTCCCCATCTTTGCTCCGTACGTACAACCAATCCCTATAGGAGTTTCGAACACTCGGATCACAATCAATCTTCACGTTGCCTAGGGAGGGYTCTCCCTCCTTCTTGTCCGGAGGATGCATYWTGACCACTGGGCCGAAGTTCTGTTCCACCGCCTTCTGCAGAGAGAACATTGCCACCAAAGGCACCCGAAGAGCTATCAGCSTGAATCGCGAAGCCTGCTCCTGATTTCGCATCCGGTCGAACTCCGCTCGTGTCATCCATGGTTTGAAGAGTACTTTGAAGCTGCCACCTCTGCATGGGATCTCCGCTGCTCCAAGGGACGTCATCCACTGGGCAATTTTTGTTGATCTTGCCACATAGGACATGACGTTTGGTCCCTCTCCATGAGTCCTCCCTCGCTTTCCTGACGGGTTCATAACTAGATCCYGGTACCAGCCATCCTCGTAAATACGAAGTAGCTGTTCTCTGTGAGAGAGGCTGAGAGTTTGGTCCTTGACTTGGAAAATGACGATAACTGTTCTCTCCTTAMSCCAGTTTATAAYTAAATCGTCGATGCCGTCATCTAGGATGAAGAGACCGTAGTCATCATGCAGCTCCGCCTTTCCAATCTCCCTTCCTATATTCGCTGGAAAGATGCCATCATCGTAACATTTTTCCATGAGAGCTCATATTCTTTCAGCTTCGTCATCCTGCATGTGTTGMCCCTGTGACRGGGCTGGTACAGCCGCCATAACTCCCTCAGTCGTTTCTACGCTTCGTACTCCTATTCCATACCCTAGACGCGCGCGCTCCTTGAGCGCCACGTCTCGTCACTTTGTTACACTCTCAGTTTACTGCGAAAGACGCCTCAGGCCACCGTCCTCCCCTCTCCTCCCTCCCTAACTTGGGGGTTGGCTGCCGGTATAGCCGGAATCAGCGAGGATTGGTGGAGTTGTCGTTCCCCCACAACGTGCAGGCAGTACGAGTCTATAGYACCGATTCTGCCGAACCGGTAGCGCTAGGCCGGAGTGCGCTCGCACCCGCGCCTAACGCCCGCCCCCCTTCCAGATATCATTGTTGAARTGAGCTGCCCAGGGGAGCTCACCCCGCTGTGCTCACGTCTGTATTTTAACAGTTCTTTTCTTCTTTTTTTTTTCAATGAAAAAGGYTAATTCTTTAAGCCCAACCAATTCAATTACCTGTCAAATCTGGACAGGAAGTTATAGTATTAGGGGGAACCCCGTAGCAGCCACATCCGTGCTCAAGCCTCTAGCGAGGGAACATGMGGGAGCTGCACCCACCAGCAGGTGCGATACCTGCTACAGCAGGTGGGCAATACCGGCCAGGGGTCAGCAGGTAGCATCAGGACCGAGCTTCTTCGATGGGCCAGTCACTGTGCCTCCCCTCCGGTCCCCTCCCCCTATGAACATCAGCAGACTCTGCTCAATGCCACTCRGGGGGACCAACGGCATATCTCTAGGTGGCGGGCGCCAAGCTTGCCCAGGAAGGTACATGAGGCCAATGGGGATTGAACCCAGAACCTTCTGAATGCCACTTGCGTGC